ATCTTTTTTCCTTTTACATGTTGGTCCATTTTGTGATTTTTAGCTTCTTGCTTAACTAATACGAATACAATTTTCAGGGTAAAGCATCTTCGTCAACCAGCAATACCTCTTTGCTCGATGCCGTATTGTTGGAGAAGGAGGAATTGTTGGAAACAAAAAGGAAATTAGAAGAAATGGTTAGCATATCCGAGGTTGTTTCTAAATTGAATGTTGTCGTGCTTATCATTTAATTTTGAACTTGCGCAGGTTAAGCAGCGTGAAAGCGCTTGCCCCTCTACAGCTGACGCCTCGGTCACGGCGGCAGATGATCGACTTGTCGTTCTTGATTTCGTAGAAAGTTCAGGTGCTGATGTTTCTGATTTGGAGGAGAAGTTGCGAGATGCTCACTCCATGATAGCGCAGCTTCAAACGAATATATCCGAGTTAGAAGCTAAACTCACGGATTCTGAAAGTTTAAAGTACATTCTAGAGTTTTTTATCTTCATAGTTTGTATGATGGTTGGATACATTTAGAATTCAGCATAAGGAACTAGCACAGGCATACAATGACTTAAATGAGGAGTTTGAGAAATACAAAGAAGTTACTTCGGCAAATACGCAGGACAACAACAACCAAGATCTTACGCGACGAATAGGTGAAATCTCAGTTCTGGGCAGTGCAATGAGCTATCCGCCAATCGTTTTTCACTAATTTAGACCTTTTAAAAGCAAACCTTATTGAGTACGAAGAGCGTTATGAAATGTGCAAGCGAGAAAATTTGGAGACTGTAGCCCAACTTGAAAGACTTTCTGGAGAGTTTGAACGACTAAAGACGGGATTTGCTGATGTGCGCGACCAGAAAGATTCAGATATGTCAGTGAGTGGATTTTACTTAATAGGAGTTGCTTTGTTGTTTTGTATTTTTAAAATGTGGTTTATTTGCTTCAGATTGAGGTGGATCGTTTGCGCATTGCATTAGACCAAGCAAAGCAAGATCGGGATCGACTGCGAGCAGATGTTGACAAATTCCGCTCTACTATCGAAGGCATCGACGTTGAGCTTGACGCCCTTCGTGTTTCCAATCTACGCCTTTCCCAGGAAAATGAGAGGATGGGTTCCATAATTGATCGGTAACTACTACTTTCGGCTTTCTTTTCAAACGCTTTTCTCATAGCGCTGGCAATACAAAGTTTAAGCTACAACGCCATGTTTGATAGCTCAAGTACTCATCAAAATATCAGTGATCAGACAGAAACACAGCTGTCCAAACATTCCACTGCTTTTGAGAACTTAAACAAGGAACTTCGCGAGGAGATTACTATGTTGCAAGAACGGAATAGGTATTTTAAAGGAGTTCAGAATTTAAGAACCACAGTCTCACTATCTCAGGCTGCTCTCAGAAGAATCAAGATTATTAGCGGAAGTCAATGCCCACATGAAGAAGCAAGAGGAGACGGATTCAAAAAGAACGCAATTATTGGAGGAGAAAATATCGTAGGTTTCTTAGAACCATTCGATCCACCTTCACATAATAAGTGTATCGCTGTTTAGTGGGTTTTAGAAATTTGTGGCTTCTAGCTTACTGAATATGTAAACTTATCTTGCTATTGAGAAATTCTATACATTTATTGCCAGAAGATAGTGGCAACTGAATATTCTTCCACTTGTAATAGTAGGAGATAATATGTGACAACCTTGACAGTTTTCGTTAGAAAATCTTGAGTTGTCAAGTTTGTTGCCGTCAAACGTTTGCCTTCAGGACCAGCTGAATCATTAGTTATATAGCTTTAATGCTTTCATCATGATCTTTGCTAGAAATATACGTAACAGACTTGTTCGATTATCAGTGAGCTAAATTTGGAAACTATAACTTTGTTTCATTTTTTTTT